GGAGATGGAGTTGGGTGGGGTGGGGTTAATTATATTATATTATAATTAAATATTTAATTTAATATAATAATTGTGAAATATAATTAATTAATTCAAAAAAAAAACCTGATTTTTATAATTTTAAACTTTGAGACCTGATTTTTAATTTCCTAAAAGTAAATCCTTAAACCATGAATTTTTCCCAAGTTTTGAAGCTTAGCTCTTGTGGAATTTGGCTCCATTTAAAAGGTTAGTCAATTAGATGGGTGTTTAGTGGGGATTAAAATTAGATTTTTACTAGATTATGATAGAAGTTTTTGAAATGTGTGATTGAAAAGTTGGGGGACCCATGAAAAATGTGGTTAATATTGATTGTTTAACTTTAACTTAGATTAAAATCTGATTTTAATCCGAAACAAACAGGGCTAGATCTAAAATATTTAATTTCAAATAATTTTACTTATTTATATATGGATAAACTTATAAATTATTTATGATCTCTTTATAATGCGAAAATTATGTATCACATAATAAGTGGATAGTAGTTGTTAATGTATTACTAAAATTGAAGTTACTATTAAGTAAACAAGTTTACCAAACATAAGTGGATATCCTCTAAAATTATAAGTAGCTAAAAGTAAATTGTAGATAAATGGATAACACTTGTGGATTCTATAGAATTGTGATTAAAATTAATTTTTGACCTACAAAATTATCTTTTAACATATAAAGGAAATCAAAGAAAGGCTATACTAATACTTTTTTCCGAGCCTTTGTTTGATGGCAATTATTTGAGAATAATTTTTTGAATAGTGATTTTTAAGAGAATGTGTGATTAAAGAATGGAAAAATTTGAGTGATTTTTAGCAGTATATTTTATATATAATGTTATTCATCATCATCACGATGGAAGATGTGACGATTCATTACTCTTCACATTTCTCTCTCTTTCTCTCGTAAAAATTGAATTACTCAATTTCATTATTCTATATGGACTGCCAAGTCATTTCATTATCGTAATAATAAATAATATTATTCATATTTTATTTTGTGAAAAAAAAAAAAAAAAGGGCAAATCCCTGTCTTTCCTCTTTTTTACTTCCTAGTTGGTGAGACACTTGGTTGGTTGGGTATGACTCTCAAACATGGGCTGAATATTCGTTTCAGATTAGGGCCTGTTTGTTTCTGATTCTCAAATCAATTCTCATTTTCAACCACACATTCTTCAATAAAATAATATTTTCCATCACATCAATACTTTTTTTTTCTTTTTCAACCACACATTTCCCATCATATCACTATTCAAAATCAATTCTTCCAAACAGGCTCTAGTCCTAAATGTAAGTATAAACCACAGTGCGTGCAGTACAGAAGTTGGAGCCCTCCATTTGAATCAAAATTCATATGAACAAGCAAACTCGTGAACTTGGCATTTATGGTCATTTTCTCTTGCATTCTAAAAATTTCAAATGGTTGTTGGAGTAGTTAAACTGTTAATTAATAAGCTTGAATCCCCATCTCTGTATTTGTGGCTTCTTGAAATGAATTATTAGTAAATTGCAGTCATCGTCCCATTTGTTCTTTATTGAATACATATAGAAATAGTTGGGCGGATTCTCCAACACAGTTTATTGCCCATAACAAGA